GTCCTCTAAGCTGTCCTTGAGGACTGGGCACTGGAGGGGCTGCCGATCTTGTGGCGCCGGCTCTGGAGGGAGGGCCCGAAGTGGGAGAAGCGTAGGCACCTAAGCTTCGGATGAATATTTGGGCCACAAGCTGGGTTCCAGGGCGAAAGGGGCATCCCTGACCCACCAGAGTCGCAGTTTCTGCTCTGGCTCTGGAGAAGGGTCTGCGCAGGACCTGCCGCCCCCGTCCCTCTCCTCCACAGCTCCTCAGAAATGTCGCTTCCCCATGGGACTTGGGATCTTACAGGCAAAGGGCCCCACCACTGTCAGGCAGTGTATCAAGAAGACTTAGAACAGAAGGGAGCCAGCCTGAGGCCCTGGGGAGATTGAGAAGGAGCCCGGAGCCAAGAGCTTTTTCCAAGGGCTCCTTCGTGCCAGCCAGGCAGGACAGGGCTAAGAGCAAAGAGCTCCCCGAGGCGGGACCCCAGGCTTTGTCCCTCAGGCTAGACAGCCCAAGATGCAGGCCAGAGGCCGGGAGGGCTTGAGCAAACTCTGCTGGTCCCTGAACACACAGCCCTGCCTCCTGCTCACCGCCTCCCGGGCTCTTTGCTTTCTGGACACCCTGGCCAGTAGGGCCAAGCGGTGGCCTGGATCCTGGACTTTTCCTCCTTTCTGCTTGGCTCTGGTTGGAGGAATTAGAGATGGTTTTATGGAAAAGAAAGCAAATTAGCATCAATTGAACAAATTCAGGGCCAAGACTATACAAAATTGAGTGGAAAATTGACAGCCGCCTCTGTTGTCGGCTTTAGCTGTCAGAAGCACGGACGTTAGACAAAGAGGAAGCTGCCGTAAGGACAGGATCTCATGGCTCCTGGAGATGTGTGCCTGCTTGGTGGGAGGGGAAACAGGACAATACAACGGGGGTGGGGGATTGAGGGACTCTGGGCCTCCGTTTTCTCATCAATACGAAAAGTAACTTGTAAATCTAATACCTAAAAATCGTATGATCTCACCGGGCTGTGGCGGAGTTTAAATAAAATAATAGCTGTGGGAGAACATTGCTGGCCACACAGGACTGCGTGCATGTAAGGGACTTGTAAGGGGACTATCTTCATTCCCTTGGGTGTAGCAATCCAGGGCAGACCGCACCCCTGTCTGGTCTCGGTGAGCAGCAGGACTCTAGGCAGACCTGCCCCTGTGCTCAGGGTTTTCGGAGCTCCAGAAGCGGGTGCAAAGGCTGTGTCTGCTCATGGTGTGCATATTCCAAGGGTGCCTGCGGCCTACCCTCCCTATTTCCCAGGCCCTCTCTGCCAAAGCCTGCAGATGTCACCAGGCAGCGCTCCACTTGAACCAGCATTGCCTTACTCATTTCCCAGGCTGCTCTGACTGATTTCAAAGTGCCAGAAAGGCTACAGGGACATGTGAGGCCGGCCTTGAACTGCAGCACTGTAGGCAATAGCTGAAGCCCGGGGGTGTGTCCTGGGCCCATGGGAAAGAGTTGTGTGTGTGTGTGTATGTGTGTGCGTGTGCGCGCGCGTGTGTGTGCACGTGTGTGGTGGGAGGGTGGCAGTCTGGGAGTTCCTGTGACATTAGCTACAACCAGCTGGCGGGAGAAGGATGCTCACTGGGCAATAGGTGTATCATTCCAAGGCTAGAATGAGGCAATATCCTGCCTAGAACATGCCTGTGCTCCCAGGGCCTCGGGAGTTGAGCTGTGCCCCAGCTTTGGGGCAGCCTACAAGGGGCCAGTCATACTTTTGTGGCCACAATGATACTTGGTAGTACCGGGATTCAGTCTGGGCTTTGAGACAGGGTCAATCTGTGACCAGGACTAAGGATCATTCTGGGATTCGGCTCAGGGGTCTGCTTTAGGTCAGGGTTGCAGGCTACACTGAGGTTTGGAGCAGGGCTCTGTCTGGGACGAGAGTCAGAAGTCCATCTGAGGTTAGTGAAAGTCCTCTGATGGAATCTGACTGGCAAAGACAGTTGCTGAGCTTTCTCTGTCCTAGCCACCTCTTCACAAGCCTGTCCACGGCCTCAGCACCCCCACTCTCCACAGCACCTCCGGGAAGTCTTAGAGTGGAGCACCAAGGCTCTCTTTTTCATCTTTCCCAAGTTCTTTTTTAGATTTGAGCAGAGAGGCAGTTTCAATTAGGAAATCCAGCGACTATTGCTGTGGGGCTGTGCCATCCCTGCAGACTCTCCCCAGGATCCCACTTGGCACAGGGTGTAAGGACTCAGAATTTCTCCCCCACACCCCTCCCAACGCCTCCTCTTTGCTGGAACAGGAAAAGAGGCTGGGCAGGGGAGGACAAAAGGGCACAAAAGCCACCCCCACCGGGGAGTAAGGAGATTGGGAAGAAGGCAATGGCGTGTTGGGGACTTCCAGGGCTATGGGACCCACTGGCAGACACCTCCTGTGGTTTCTTGGGTTGGTGGCTGGGAGGTGGGTGTTTTGTGACTGTGACAATGATCCTTGTGTGTGTGTGTGTGTGTGTGTGTGTGCGCGCGCGCGCGCGCGCACGGGCCCTCAGTGTCAGCCTGTGCATCTATCTGCATCTCTATAAAGCTGTGTGCCTGTCTGTCCTTTCGAAGATAGAGTTCCACGGCTGGGTTTTCTGGGGTTACTTGCCCATTTCACCACCTTGTGGCCAGTGCTGTGTCTGGGGGTCAGGCTAGATTCTTAGAGCTTTTCAAGCCAGCAAGGCCTCAACAATCTCCCCCACCCCATTTTGTGTTAGCTTCATCCTCAGATGGGATGTGGGGTGGCTCTGGCCCTCCAAGGTGCCCTGTTCAGATGTGACTGTCCTGTGAAACCACCCTACTCCGAGGATGCTTCCTAGCTCTGTGACCACAGTGGTCCTGACAGGGCCTTCGTGAGTGACTGGCCCCAAGCATCCTGGGGTGGAAGTCTGAGGGCACTGAGACAGGAGCGGGGTGCTTTAGGAGCCTACAAGCCGGCCCTTTGGAGCTGATCTCCCACTAGGAAGGGCGAGTGCGGAAAGGGTGCAGAGGGAATCGTTTCCCCGAATCTGTAGTACTACAACTGTCCACCAGGTGGGGTTCCAGGGCAGAGAGTGAAGCCGAGGTGACCCAGCGCTGAGGGCTAGACCAGCGTTTAGATCTCCTGCCACACCAGCCTCGGAAGCGCTCACACAGGGAGGGACAACACATCTGCGCGCACGTTAGACCCTCACATGCAGTCTGGTCTCGTGAACTCTAAAGCAGAACTCGTACTAGGTGCCGGCAAGGTGTTAAAAGGGGAGCCTAGTATCGTTGACACACACACCACTCAAAGATGGGATATCCACTCTGGCTCTGGGAGTGCGATAGCGAACGCCAGAGCCAAGGGGCTGAGGGAAGCCGGATGCCCGCGAGAACGAAAGGCAGGCACTGGCGAGACCGGTGTCGGGGTTGCTGTGCGCAGCTCCATTTAGCACAGGCTCGCAGGAAGAGAGGCCAGATGACAGATGCACGGATGCGCAGACACACTCACGGCTCTAGAAAGAATACACAAACCCACAGACAAGCCGCCTCGCTCCTCAGACGTCGGCCCGACGCAAGGCCACGCACGCGAACACACAGGTGCGGCCCCGGGCCACACGCACACCGCACACAGGCACGCGAGCCCGGCCCTCTGCTGCCAGCGCTGAGAAGGTGGCTGTGCTCACCCAGCATGTTTATTTACTCATTTGTATCAATGAACGTTTGTGCCCGTCTGTTCCCGCCTCTGGGTACCGGGGCCACCGCGTTTGTCCCCGCGCAGGACACTTGCCCGGACCAGCATCGGGGTTCCCCGACGCTGCGGGCGGTGGACGGGGACTACAAAAGCAGGGGGGGGGTCCCGAAGTATAGGAGAGGAGGGGCTGCAGAGTCAGCAGCCTGGGACGCTGACGGGGATAGGGGAACCTCCGAGTCCCGGAGGGTAAGAGACATTTGGCGGGGGGGCGGACCTCATCATCGGACGTGTGAGGATGTAGGGATTGGGAATGGGGGATCTGGGTTAGGGGGATTGGAGCTGATAACTGAGGGGTCCCTGGAGATAGGAGCCAGCGGGGTCCCGCGGGTTGGGAGCTCCGGACCCTAGGCAAGTTCGAGGGGTTTGGGCGCCTCCCAGTCGAGGGGGCAGTCGGGCCAGGACCTCCGCTGCCGAGCTCTGGCCCAGTAGGGACTGCTCGGAGCTGAGGAGGGGAAGGAGGAAAAGAGGGAGGGAAGCAGCCTAGAGGCCAAGCGGGCACTAAGCGAGTGCGCACCGTGTGTGTGCGGGCGCGCGTGCGTGTGTGTGTGCAGGCGTGTGTGTTGTGTGTGTGTGTGTGTGCGGGCGTGTGTGTTGTGTGTGTGCGCGTAGGTGCGCGCGCGTGTGTCTCATCTCGTCCGTCTGTAGGCGCTGGGCTCGGCGAGACGCCGGCGAGAAAGAAGAGGAGGCGAGAGGTGAACTGAGTTTGATCCTGCGGCGGCTACAAGTGGGTCCCGGGCGGGCTGCGGGCGGCGGGCGGCCGGGGCGGGGCGGGAGGCCGGGCTGTGCTCTCCAGCTCCGGCCGCGGGCCCGGCCTCTCACCACGCCTCCGGCTTTGTGAGCGCGCGGGTGGGGGGTGTTGGCGGGGCGCCCACGGCGCAGCCTCCCGCCTCTATATAAACACACGCATCGCCTTGCTTTGGACTCAAATTCACATTGAGAGAAGCTTTTAAAACCACCAGCCCTGAAATCCTGCCTCCTGCTTTTCCCCCTCTTTCATTCCTTTTGCCTTCCTTTCTTTTTTCCCCTCCCCCAGCAGCAACTCCAGAGCCGAGAGACCGCGTCCCGGGACGGACTGCCTTTTCTTAATTGATACAATAGCCCAGCTCGGGTTTTCCACCTCCTCCCCCAACCTCACCCCGCCTCACCCCTCCCGTCCGCCGCCGCCGCCGCCGCCGCCCCAGCGCCCGCCCGGGGCTCTGTCGCCGGCTGCGTCCCGTCCCGGCCGCGGCCAGCCGGCTCCGCACCCGCGCTCCGGCTGCCGCGCCCGCCTCGCCGCCTCGCCCGCTGCGCCTGCCTTGGGGGTGCTGCGGCGGCTCTGGGGCTCGGGCGCGCCGCCCGGGGCAGCCCAGGGACGTCTGGGCTCCGGCCTCTCCACTCGCCTCAGCCGGGGTCTTCTCCCTCGCCCCCAAAGTTTCTGGGTTCGTTGGAATTTTTAGATTCAGGATTTTTTCCTTCTTTTTTTCACCTAGAAATTTTGGGGCCATACTGCAATACTTTTGAGAAATCGACCGCACTTGCTCTCCGCTAGCTCTCTGCCCCCTTCTTTTTTTTTTTTTTTTTTTTTTTTTTTTTCGAGCAGGGGAAGGGGCTTACGAGAGAGGCTCCCTCCCGCTGGACAAAGTTTTCCAAAGTTTTCCGAGTGTGATGGTAGCGGGGAGAGCAAACCCACAAGCTTGACTCACGGCTTCATCTCACCTCCCCTAGAGCAGCCCGTAAGCCCGCTATAAAGGAAAAATCAAACAAACAAACAAACAAAGTTGCACCCCAGTCGCCTCGTGTCTCCTCTCTTCTTTTAGGCAATTTTTTTCCTCCTTCTCTCCGCTCCCCTCGCAGCCTTCACTCCCCTTCCCTCGGCCCCTTCCTCCTTCTCTGTTTCGGCTGGAGGTGCCAGGACCCCCGGCCGCAGCCTCCCCTCCCCCGCCGCTCCGGTCCCCTCCCGTCGGGCCCTCCCCTCCCCCTCTGCGGCCGGCACAGCCAATCCCCCGAGCGGCCGCCAACATGCTCTTTGAGGGCTTGGAGCTGGTGTCGGCGCTGGCCACCCTCGCCGCGTGCCTGGTGTCCGTGACGCTGCTGCTGGCCGTGTCGCAGCAGCTGTGGCAGCTGCGCTGGGCCGCCACTCGTGACAAGAGCTGCAAGCTGCCCATCCCCAAGGGATCCATGGGCTTCCCGCTCATCGGAGAGACCGGCCACTGGCTGCTGCAGGTAAGGGCGCGCTCGCTCCGCTGCTCTCCGCGGTCCGCTAGCTGCAAGCGCGGGGCGGACGGAGCGGCGGGCCGGCCAGGGGGCGCCGGGAGCCTGAAGGCACTGGTCCCCGCCCCGCCCCTTCCCTCCTCTTGGCCGCCGCAGCCCGGGCTTCCCCTGTCCGCCGGCAGCGCGGTTCCGGGACCACGGGCGCCCGCGGCGCAGGTTCAGGAGGCTGGTTAGAGTTCCCAGACTTGAGAGGGCTCCCAAGACAGACTTGCCGGGGTCGCCGCTGGCCTGGCAGCGGGGGTGTGGAGCGCCCCTGGGGCGCCCAGCGCGGCGCGAGCCGAGGGAGCGTCCGGTCCAGAGCTTCTGTCACCTCTCCTCGGTGCTCAGCCCCAGTCACCCTCGGCTTTCTGGGGTTGGCTGTGTCGCTGGGAGCTGAAAATTGAGTCGGGAGCTGAGGGGGCAGCTTGAATTGCAGTTTTAAAACTGTTCCCGTGGCGCCGTCGGCAGCGCCAGGTACAGCTGCCCTGGTCCGCGGTCTGCGCGAGTCTGTCTGTTTTGTGGTGGAAGAGGAGGAAGGTAACCCAAGGAAAAATGAGAAGTCGGAGAAGCCAGGGCTCTCGGCTTTCGGGGAAAAGGGTCTATTTACTTATTGGGTGGGGACAGTTTGGCAGGAGAGGGAAACTTGGGAGAGGTGAGTGTGGGATCCATGGAGAGAGTGCGTGTGTGCTTGTTAGATGCAGCACAACCCCACTCTGCTGGCGGACAATGGGGGTGGGGAGCGTCAGGGACCAGACCCAGGTAGGTAATGGGGAGCTTAACCTGGAGTTAACCTCATCCAGTGCTAGACAATCGCTTTTGCAATGTGAAACACACCAGTTTTCTTCTTGGGGTGGGGGGCGCCTCTGCGGTACCTGCGGGAGGTGTACACGGGTTTGTCCTGTTAAGGGAAGCAGGGATGTCCTGAAACTAACAGTCCCGGCACCAGAAAGGTGAAGCGAAAGGTGAGCGCTGGGACCTGTGGGTTTAGAGGTGCGAAAGCTTGGCTTGAAATTAACAGACGCGTGCAATCCGCGCGCGCGCGCACACACACACGCACACACACACACACACACACACTCTCACCCTGCCCTGGGCCGAATGACAGCGAAGCGGGGGCGGGGAGGGGGTTCGAGGTTACTCTGCCCTGTGGTCTTTCCACGTCCCGGATTTGGCCCTTCTCTTTTTGGGGTTGTTCGTGTAATGAATTGGGGGTCCCTTCAACCAATGGAAGTATCGCCCCCATCCCTCGCAAAGAAATCCCCAGAGCCTCTCCCTAGACACCACACTTAAAGGATCAACTGCGGCGGTGCTCTAGGCTTTGGGCCGCGACTTAGGAAATAAAATAACTTGGGCAACGGCTCCCGCCTTTTAGAGCTAGTCTGCTGAATCCACGGGCTGTCACCACCCACCCCAACTTCGTTTCCAGACCTCTCTCGGCCCCCCCCAGCCCCTCCCCCGTGACCTTTTCTCCAAATCCCACAAGAGCCGCTGGGGGTCAGCGTCCAACCTGCACAGAAGTTGGGGAGGGGGAAACCTACCCCTTCCCATCCCTCCAACCCAGGGAAATAGGGGGTACGTGTACAGGAGCGCCTAAGGGGTTAATGAGAGCCCTCTGAATCCCAGCGTTATTTTTTCGGAGTCATTTATCAGATTTTACGGGGGACCTCCAAGGGCTCTCCGTTTCCACCGAGCGCCATCTAAACAGAGCCCAGGGCTAAAAATACAACATTTTTGTATAAATTGGACTCGCGGCCCTAGCGGCCGCCCCTATGAAAGTCCTCTTTGTGAAGACCGTGGAAACGGCGGACAAATAACTCTTTATTAATGCCACAAAAAACGCACTTTAATTATAGTTAGGCAGATCAGAGGCGGGGGGTGGGGGCGAGGCGGCGGCGACCTCGGAAAATTCACAACCCAACTTTTGTGTTGAAAGAAAAGAAAAACAGAGGAAAAGAAGGAGAGGAGAGACGGAGGGTGAGACGGAGCGAGTGAGACGGTTATAGCAGACGGAGGGAGGGAACCCTTCGCCTCACCACCCCCTCTGTCGCACTCCCACCTCCGCCTAGATTTTTCTTAAAGGGGAAGACGCCGTCTAGAAAGGCTGCAAGGCGGGGGGGATCTCTCCCCGTCCTCCAGCCTGGGAGAGGGGACAGCGTTCTCGCGGCCCAGCCCCCCTCCTAGCTGCTCAGGCGCTCCCGGCTCTTCCCCGTCGCGCGCAGGGGCCGGAGGCGCATGTGGAAAAGTGATTAGGGCTCCGGGTTCTGCAGAGTCACTTTTCGGCTGTACTCGGGTGTGTGCATATTTAGCTGGAGAATAGTTTTCCTTGGAAGAAAGGAAAGTGAGGAGGGGGACTAACCCGGGATGGGGGGCTGAGTTGCCTCCTCAGGAGTGCAGGAGCGGGTAGATCTGGAGCCCGAGTCGGTACGCCGGTGGGCGGGCAGGAGGGGCGGCTGGACAGGTGGCGCTCCTCCCCTTTTCCCCCAATGCTGCCGGGGCAGAAGAAGGGTTAACGTGGGGTGGGGTAGCGAGTGCCGACGTCAAAGGTGAGCGGGACGCCCCTGCCCCCGCCCCTCTGAAGTCCCCACAGTTTCCGGTACCCGCGCAAGGCTGGCTTCGCCAGCCGTTCCCAGAGCCTGGCCGGGCCCCGGCCCCGCAGTCCTCGGCTTGCGCCGCCACCGCCGAGGATCCTGTTACCTGCGCGGGTGGCCCCGCCCGGCCCCACCCCGCCCCGCGCTCGGGTTCCAGACTCCAGGGCGGCATCCAAAGTCCGTCTCCGTTATTTCCAGGGCAAAATGCAGTAGGAAAATCGCTGCTCTTGGCCCGTGACCCCGCCCAGCCGAGTCCTCCGAGGGCCGCCGTGTCCCTGCGCCGGCCACACCGGAGAGCGGAGGAAACTCCAACCCCCATCTGTAGTTGCTGCCACGGGGCACCGACCGCCTGCCGCTATAAATAATCTTTGGCCTATGGCCACCTCGCGGGGTCTCGCCAGCCCGTGGCCCGGAGCCTGGAAATATTTATTCCGAGAGGCTCCCTAGCGCGGGGTAGGGGTGAGGGGTGGGGGCGGAGACTCCCACTTCGGGTCCAGCAGTCCGAAACCTCTTTGCTTTCGAAAGTCATCACTAAAAAACAGCCTCCTGGGGTGCCCCTGGGCCTCCGCCTCCTTGCATTATTATCCTCTAGGCCCTACTTCCCAGTTCTTGTGCACGCTATGAAAAATAAAACCTGCGTGCGTGTCTGTGTGAGTGTGTTTGGTGGGGAGAAGGGGCAGGTGACAGTGCCCCCGGTTGGGGTCCGCCGCCCCTCCCTCGCGGGCCCTCTGCAGACGTGTACCCTGAGACGGACCCTCGGTGTGGCTCCCGCAGGGTTCTGGCTTCCAGTCGTCGCGGAGGGAGAAGTATGGCAACGTGTTCAAGACGCACTTGTTGGGGCGGCCGCTGATACGCGTGACCGGCGCGGAGAACGTGCGCAAGATCCTCATGGGCGAGCACCACCTCGTAAGCACCGAGTGGCCTCGCAGCACGCGCATGTTGCTGGGCCCCAACACGGTGTCCAATTCCATTGGCGACATCCACCGCAACAAGCGCAAGGTAAGAACTCTGCCCCCTTTCTTCCGCGCACCCACCCCCACCTCGGGGCAAGGAGTTCGTGGAGCCCTGGGAAATGTCCCCTGCCGAATCTGTGCCCCCACTTTGCGCACCATGCTTGAAGACCCAACAGTTCCGCTCCTACAAGGCCTCGAGCCCAGATCCAGGGCCTGCACTGGCCTCCTCTTGGTCCCTTATCCTGCTGGCCAGCTGCGCCGTGGCCACCACCAACGGTGGCTTGGAAGAGCTTGAGTGTGCGGGGTCTGGGGTGTCGAACGCTTGTCCTTGCCTCGCTCCACAGAGCTGGAAAAAGAAGGGGGCAGGACAGTTGGCCAGCGTTCGCCTTTTCGCCACGTTTCCTAGGGAATTCCGAGGACTGGAGACCGATCATTCCAAAATCAAAGCTGCCCTTCCCACCCACGCTGCTTGAAGGGAGGCGCGAGCAGGCGCGGCGCGTGGAAGTTGGGGACAGCTTGTGGGCTGCGGTGGCAGGGCCTGGTCCGAGAGAAGTGCGGCGAGCTTTGGGCCTCCGAGCACAGAGGCCTGGGCCGTGGGGGAAGGACAGGCGGGGTCAGGGGAGAGCAGGAGAGGCAGGAGCGGGGATCAAAGCGCACCCACCCCCCTGAAAAAGGAAGGGAAAGTGGGTGTTTATCCCTTGGATTTCCCGAGCGACTGGAGGAGGTGCGGAGGAGGCGCGCACGGGGTAGGCCCCAGCCCCTCCCGGCTGTGTCGGTCTCCCAGCGCGGGCGGCACGTGCTGTTTGAACTGCAGTAACCCGAAAGCGGAGCCGGCGGGCCGGCCCTAAGCTGCCCCGGAGGGAGGCTGCAGGACCTCCCCCACTCCCTTTTTTTCCTTTGGATCAGAGGACTCATCCAGGGTTGAAACCTAAGGAAAGGAAGCGGCAGCAGACCGGGGAGGTGGGGAGGCGGGGAGGCGGACTCCCTCGCGAGGGGCAGGGTGTGCGGTGGTCTCGGAGAAAGTGGGGAGCCGTCTACTCGCTGGCGCATCCTGTAGCACTTGACGTTCTGAACAGCCTATGAAGGGTAATTCTTAAAGGCAGACAAAAGAAGAAACAAACCGAGGAGACTGGGCTGATCCCCGCCCCCACGCCAGTTCCCTTCTACAGCCTGTATTTCAGGAACTGGAAAGGGGCTCCCAAAGTCCTCTCTTCCATCTGCCCCACTCCTAGCTGGAAGCAGTTATCACAGCCTGGGGGCGGCGGGAGAGGGGTTCTGGGGAGTGGCGTGGAGGGGGCTGGAGGCTTCGGAATGAGGGCTTTTCAAAGGTGTCGGGCAGTTATTTTCCTGTCAGCCTTTGCAACTCCACCACAGGCCCGTTTCGAAGAGTGAGGAGAGGAGACTCAGCTCCAAAAGGAGATGGCTGCTTCCTGACCTCCGCTTTCCACAGGCTTTGCCAGAGGGGAATTATTGTCCCCTTTTTGCGGAAGGGGCCACTGAGGTGTAGAGCAGTTGAAGGATACTTGAACCGGGTCAGGAGAAAAAATTTCCGGGAGAGCCTGCAACACGGGACTGCATCGTCCATGGAAGTCTCTGGATCCCCAAGGAGAGTCCTTCTCTGCCCTGTCCGCCTGGGGCTGCTGGACCCTGGGGTGGACAGTGAGTGCTTACAGAAAGGCAGTGCGGCCAGGACCAGATTGTGAGATCCTGGGGTCCAGAGGGCTTTGGGGTGAGGACGTGGCCTTGGAGTTCCACCCACCCTGGGCCTGACTTGGCCTGGGGCCTCCAGGTGTTGGCGGAGAAGGGCTTGCCAGGAAAGCCCCAAGGTCTTTTAGCCTACACTGTCCATTTACAGAAGAGGGAGAAGGAAGGGAGGGTGCAGATGATCAGTGTTGGAGGAATACGGGAAAGGGAGAGGCAGGGCTGGGGCTGGGTCGGGGCAGAAAGTGAGGGCCCTGGCTGAGGCGGGGTGGCTCCCTATTCAGAACAGCCCGTCCTTTAGCTTCCTGGGCATGCGTGGGGAGTTACCAGAAGCTGGTTCATCCTGCCAGAGGCCTGAGAGCTAAATGCAGGGCCCCCTCTTTGTGTGTAGCTAGCAGTTTTATGCTTGTCATGTTGGGGGGAGGGAGTTGAATGAGAAATGGGTAGTCAGCTAGACAAAAGGATCCTTCCCCCCAAATCTGCCTAATTGATGATCTAAGTTTACTGAACTCCATGGAAGTCCCGGGGCTAGGTAGGCAGAATCTGGCTGGAGGATAGGAAAACACTCAGGGCCATTGTTTCTAAATATTCATATTGCTCCTGGAGAGAATGGCCCATCTGTTGGACCCAAGGCCTGGTGGACTCAGTGTGGCCAAGGCAGGGGCTGCTATGTGCCTCGCACACTGCCGTATCCGGCCCTTGCTGGAGTCAGGGGCTTGGCTGCAGTGTGGGCTGCTGGGCCAGGACTGGCCTGGTTAGGAGGTACGTGTGGGAAGTGGGGCCCAGGTGTGCTGGGGCCCGGCTGGTGGGGAACTGGAGCGTCACTGTTTCCACTGGGGCTGGTGGCCCACTCCGCCTCTGGGAGGTCTGACCAGATGTGTTGGAGGGGGCTTCTCACTGCCATCACTGCGCTCCAGGTGTTTGCCCTGGCTGCCCTGGTGGTCTCCGGCCAGCAGGGGTGGGTGGGGTTGCCAGGGAAAAAGTCCAGAAAGTCTTGCCCAGTCTACCAGAATCATCTCTGGAAGCCAGGCCTGTGTCCTTGCAATCAGAGACTCAGACTCCCTCCCTGCTCCTGGGTTACCCCTCCCCTGCCCAGGGCCTGGGGTGTCTCTGATGCATAGGGGAGGGACCCCATCTCGCTTTGTGTGTAGAAGAGCAGATGGATTCTGGTTACGATGGTGAGAGTGAGACAGTTGTCCAAAACATGGAGAAGGAGCTAGGGAATCATTCTAGAAGCTTCCTTTGCCCAGCCAGGATTGGGCCTGTCATCTTTTCCTTTGGAGATAGGACTGGACCTCTATGCATCAAGAACCCAGCAGCTTCAGGGCACCCCTGAACAGTGGCCTGGAGTTACCCTCAGGGAACTTGGAGAGTATTTCAGGGGAGGGAATGAGCCTGGGAGCCCCTGGACTGGGGAGACCTCAGGAGTGGTAGTCTTGCCCCTTCTACACAAACCCCTGCCTACAGGGCCTTCTGGGCCTGAAGCCGAGGTGGGGGACTAGGCTTTGGAGGTAGAAACCCTGCCTGTCCACCCCCCGTCCCTGACCTTTGGGTCTCATCTTGGAACCTTGTGCTGGGGTCTGTGTTGGAATGGAGAGGCCAGGAGATGCTCAGCAGGAGGATGGTGCGAGGAGTACCCATGGTTGTGGGGTCCTGGGGAAGGCTAGCCCACACTGGCTCTAGGAGGCCTTGGACCAAGGCACAGCCTCTGGCTACAGTAATGTCCACCAGGCTCAGCTCAGGGCAGAAAGTCCAGCCTGCGCTGGATGGAAGGTCATCCAGCCAGACAGTTCTGCTGCTGGGAGATCTGCCCCAGCCCCCGGGCAAAGGCACAACGCCTTTGTTCTGCCAACACAATTCCTTTACCCAAAAGTTACTGTAGCACCAGTGGGTGGGCACAGGGGCTGCTGAGGGGGCAGGTGGCGGGAGCGGATCTATCTGAAGGTCAGTGGGGGAGGGAACCCATGGTCAGCTGCCAGGGCGCCTGGGAGTGGGTTCCTCCCTCTGCATGCCCTTGTGCCAGGCAGTGGGTGGGTGGGCGGCCTGGACATGGGGGCCAGCCCTTCCCTCTGTCCCTCCTTTCTGTGTCCTTCTCCCAAAGCAGGGAGGGGTCCAAGGCTGTGGTGCTGATGTGTTTGCTCACTCTCCCAGCCTTGGAAGACAAAGGTGGCCTTGGCAGGGAGTGAGAAGGCTTGGTGGGGTCTGCCCTGGCCCTGGCCCTCCCATGCTGGTCGCTATATCTGTGCTGGGTCCCCTAGGCCTAAAAAGAAGTAGCTGCAGGGCCCTGAGACACGCCGGGACCACACCAGTGTGGCAGGGACAGCTGACCTCATCCTGAGAGTGGACTTCACCCTGAGGAGGTTCCCATTCAGGACGCTTGGATAAATTCAGAGCCCACCAGGCCTGGCAGAGGGCAGTTCTGTGGGATCTGGAGTGGTGGGATGCAGGGGGTTCAGGGCCTCTGGTGGTTGTGGCCAGCCATGCTCTGCACTGTGGCCTTGGAGGGGCCCCTTGGGAGGGCCCCTCCCCACCCACAGCTTTCTAAGGTGGGGGTTCCTGGTGGCTAGAGGCAGGAGAGGTAAGAGCAGCTGGGCAGATCTCAGAATCTGTGGCTCTGTAGGTATCTGCCAAGTGCTGCCCGCGTCTCCTTGTCTTGCCCACCTTGTGCTGTGTGGAAGAGTTAGGGCACTGGGGGGCACGTCTCCAGGTGGGATGATCACAGCTGGAGTCACATGGGGGGCAGGCGTTCTGCTCCAACTGCTGGAGCCTATTGGGGATCTGGGCCAGCCTCCCCAAAACCAGAGGGACTGAGTGTGCCCAGCCCCACACACCCGGATTGGACATTTCCAATTCTGGATGAAGCTGCCTGGCATTTCCAGTGGACCAGGGTGAAGCTGAGGCCCAGTGGAAATGCCAGGCAGCTGGGAAGATGACGTGCTCTCACCCCCCTTGCCTGAATATAAAGTACACACCTTGGCATCACCCCTGTGCGGACGGCTGCCTCAGCGGCGGCCTGCCCTCTGTTATTCTTTCCACTCCTCAGGCCGAGGCTCCGGTGGCTTGGCCGGGTGGCCTGCCCAGGCCCCCACCCTCCTGGGCAGCGGTTTCCATTCCTCCCAGTCTGAGTCACTGGCCGGGGCAGTGGGTCCCTGCTTCAGCTCTGCAGGCCCCTGCGTCCATCCGTTTGTCCATCTGTCCACACCGACCAGCAGAGAAGGGGGAGGCTATCTGGCTGAGCAAGCGTGGCACGCAGGGCCATAGGGGTTCACAGAGCGACTTCCCCCCCAGGGCACTGGGTGAGAGGCGGGAGGGGTGAGGAGACCTGGTCGGGGAGATGGCACTTGTAGAAATACTGATGGGGAATCTGAGCCTTCACCAGCCCCTGGGGGTGCCCCCAGACCCTTGTGGGATCAGCTCCCACCCCGGAGGGAGGAGAGAAGCAAAGGTGCGGACTCCTGAGCCTGTGGTGTCCTTGGGGGCTTGGCGGGGGCGTTGTCCAAGGCCATCCCTCCCAGCGAGTGCCCTCCTCCCTCCTGCCCAAGCCTCTGAGGCTGCAGCAGGTAAACCTGAACGATGCTCCTGCTCCTGCCGCAGTGCTCTCGCTCTCCCCCGGCACCAGCCCTGGTGGGAAGGCCATACCTGCCGCTCCCTCTGCAGGGTTTGGTCTGGGCCTGGGCTGGCTTTCAGTGACCTTTGTCCGGCCTTCTTGGCTGACTTTTGGGAATTCCGAGGGAAGCCCCAGAGGGAAACAAAGCAGCCTGGCTCCTGTGACGCCTGTGGTCAGGGAAGTAGCTGCGGCCCGAACCCTTCCTCTCTTCACTCAGAGCCGCTCCCTGGCACCTTCCCAGTATGCCCCAGTCCTGACCCTAGCAGGCGGCGGCCTCAGACCCAGCCCTCCCTGACGCAGCCCCGGCAGCCCTCTGCCCCAGCCCGGGCCTCCGCCTCCGCCGTCCTTTGCGGCGGGTGGTGGTTTCAGAGCTGCCCCAGCTTCCGGAAGTGCCTGCGTTGTTACCCCTGGGCACAGAACCAGGGATGAGGCCCTGGAGGCTTCCCACGCTGGGGAGGCCCCTATGCCTGTGGGGCAGCTGGGCCAGAGGAAGGGGCCTGGACCTAGTGCCTCTGAACCCAGCCCCTGGGGCTGCAGTGCCCTCCACTGACCTTTGCTGGGCTTCTTATTTGGGTGGTTTCTCCACCTCGCGGTGGGCTCTGAGGAGCATCATGGACAGCCCGGCGGAAAGGCCCTCAGAAGGGCCAGTCGGGCCTCTTATGAACCCAGCGGGGAAACAGCTTCAGGAGGGGTAGCGGCCTGCTGGCTGTCACTCAGCAAGTCAGCTGCGGCAAAGACGGAGTCCTGGAACTGCCTTCACTTCTCTTCCAGAAGCCTCAGCCCCAGGGGCCTGCAGGTGCTGGGTGGCAGTGGCTTTTCCAGGATTCCAGCTTCTGGCCTTGCCCATGGACCCCCTCCCTCTGAGGGCCAGGTGTGGACCTCTGTCCTTGGAGTCCTCTTCTCAGTTCCAGGTCCCCCTGGAGCCTTCTCTCTTCCGGGACTGTCCCTGCCTGCCCTCCAGGGCCCCCAAGGCCTGGGAAGGAGCAGTTCAGCCGGCCATCGCTAGAGGGCGCAGGAAACAGAACCCATAGGGCAGGGCAGAGCTTGTCCATGGGTGAGGTAGGGGCCCTCCATGCTCCCCCTTTTGAAACCCTGGAATGGCCCCTCCCGGGCCACTGTAGCCCATTTGGGGTGCGTGAGTGTGGGCTGGAAGGCACTCTCCAGGGAATTTGAACATTGCCAAGTTCTGGGCCGCTTTGAAGGGATAGCATCTGCCTAGGGGCAAGTGCCGATGTTTGGGAGCTGATGTTTGGGTGCAGATGTTGACGTGCTCAGTGGATTGAAAGGAGGTCACCTGGCTCCACCTCACTGTTTTACAAATGAGGAAACTAAGGCTTGGGGGAGCAGGTGGCCACTCAGCCATGATCACACTGTATGTTGCTGGATGATGCACAGTTACAATTCAGCCCCTTTTCTGTCACCCACTACACCTTAGAGCCCACTGGCTTCAACTTTGGCTGGGCCTGGTGGATGTGGCCTCTGCCTTTTCCCCACTCCTCACATCTGTCTTTGGATCAGGTTTCCCATGTTCTGGGGGCCCTGGCCAGCCCCTACCTTGCACCCTCCGTGACAGAACCCCTAGTCCATCCACAGCTGGCTGGCTCTGGGCCAGCTATGACCTCTCTGGCCCTCCCTGTCCCACCTCTGGGCTCCCTGTCCCACCATGGAGGTCTGGTGGCCGCAGAGTGATTTTCCTGCCCTCTGTCTTGTTTCCTGATGCACTTTCCCTTCCTATGTATGGCTGTCTGCTCACCCGGTTGTCTGCTCACCTTGTGGCTCTCTGCTGTCTGTAAGGGGTGCTTCACTGGCTGGTGCTGGGCTCCAGGGTAAAGGTGCCCTCCCATTCCCCCAAGACCCTTCATTTGCCCAAAGGCTGAACCTGGAATCCTAAGGACACGAGGGTTGGGGGTTGAAGCAAACAACACTGCCTTTATCCATCACTCTCTGAAGGGAGGCAGCTGTTAGAGTCCCCTGTGACCCCCAAAACTGGGCAAGGTGTGAGCGACCCATCTGGGCCTAGGCTGACCTAGGCGACCTCCTATCACCCTTCCACCTCTCAGTTGTCCCTTTGTAGCAGGCCTGCCCCAAACAGCGCAGGCCTCTCTGCCCCTTGCCGGCCTCCTGCCCTCCCTCCCTCCCTCCACCGGGAATTTCGGAATGAAAGTGCTATTGTGAACGCCTGGCTGGGCCACTGAAGGGCCAGCACTGTTATTTCTGCAAACCAGCCCTCCCATTAGCCATGCAGGGCCCAGGCCAGGAAAATGTTACCTTTCCTCCCTGAGCTGACTGCAGGGGAAATTCTCACATTTACAGTTTGTGCGGTGGTTGTGTTTGGGTGGCAGGAGGAGAGGGCGGCGCGTGTGTGTGGTTTGCATGGGGTGGGGCGGGGGGCTCCCTCTTCTGCTTGTCCCTCCCCTCCCGGCCTTTGCTTGGTGCTGGTAGCAGGGGGCACTCCCCCTTCTCATCTGAACTCTGGTGGGGTGGAGGCTGCTGCTTGCAAGTGAGACCCATGGGCTATTGGTAAATAAACTAACATCCTCCCCTCTCCTCCACACATGAAAAACTTGTGCTGGGAGACCTGGGTGAGGAGGGGTGTCGAAGGGGCTGCGGAGCCCGTCGGGAGGACAGAAGGCAGGACGGTGGAGACAGGACTCACTGGCCGCTTCCAGTGGCCCTGGAAGATGCTGGGAATTCACGGGGCTTCTGTTTGTCTTTATGATCTTTGGGGGTGGAAAGCCGTTGCCCCCAAACCCCCTGGTTCTGGACCTGGCCTCACTGAAGGCTTTTTAATGGCACAGCTGTTAATAAACTTCTTAGAATCTGCACCCAGTAGGTGTTTCCTGCAAGTGATAAGTTGTGGTTCTCAGGAAGTCCTGCTTGAGGTCTAGTCTCAGGCTTTCTTGCTGTCCCATCCGTGGAGTGGCTTTCCCCCGAGGGCCGTCCCTACTTCCCTGTGCAGTCCGATCCTGTGCTCCACTTCTCCAGGCACGCCTGCCCTTTGTCCTGCGATTCCGAAACGGGCTTTGTGGTATAAGGGCAGCCTCCCTGCTCTGGCCCGCTCAGCCCCCACTCGTGCCCCTCGCAAGCCACATCCCCCAAAGACTTGCTGGCAGCTGGCCTGCCTGGCTCCCAAGGCTTTGCTATTGCATGGAAGCTGAAGTTCTCCCTGGTCACATTCATTGTTCAGGCAGAGTAAGGGGCTGGCCAGGGGCGGGCTGTGCCAGTTGGCTCACCCACCTGCCTCTCTGCCTTCCAGGTCTTTTCCAAGATCTTCAGCCACGAGGCCCTGGAAAGCTACCTGCCCAAGATCCAGCTGGTGATCCAGGACACACTGCGCGCCTGGAGCAGCCACCCTGAGGCCATCAATGTGTACCAGGAGGCACAGAAGCTGACCTTCCGCATGGCCATCCGGGTGTTGCTGGGCTTCAGCATCCCTGAGGAGGACCTTGGGCACCTCTTTGAGGTCTATCAGCAGTTTGTGGAGAACGTCTTCTCCCTGCCTGTCGACCTGCCCTTCAGCGGCTACCGGCGGGTGAGCACCAGGGCCTGGGAGGAGAGGGGCAGGGGCACCTGTGAGCTTCCTCTCGGGGGGTGGGTGGCTGACCCTGAGACAGGCATCTAGGCATGGGGCCCATGGCAGAGGGGAGAGGTGTCAGTGTGGGGTAGGAGGAGGCTAGAGTCTTCCCTGGTGATCCCGAGGCTCAGATGGGAGCCCCGCCCTTCCATGTGGGTGACAGCCCTTTCTCCCCGCAGGGCATTCAGGCCCGGCAGATCCTGCAGAAGGGGCTGGAGAAGGCGATCCGGGAAAAGCTGCAGTGCACACAGGGCAAGGACTACTCGGACGCCCTGGACCTCCTCATCGAGAGCAGCAAGGAGCACGGAAAGGAGATGACCATGCAGGAGCTGAAGGTAGTGGGGGCACATGCCCCTGGCTGGCAGCACCAGCACCCACACTCCATTCTGAGCTTTCCTCAATGGAAACATGCCCGGCCCTTTCTACCCCACTCTAGTCCCGCCCCACACATGCTTTCTGAGCAGTGGCTGGAGACGGTGAAACTGGAAGCAAAGTCCATGTCCCTGCCCCTGCTGTGCAGGATGCAATGGGGCACCCTCCTCTCCCCATGGCCTGCAGTGAGCTCAGGCCTGGGAGAGATCTCAATTCATGTCCTGGTCCCAATATCCCTGGGAGGCCATCTAAGGAAACACAGGCCCACAAGGGGAAACCACTTGCTTGGTGCCAGCCTCAGCCCTTGGGGAAGAGCAGGGGAGATTTGCATGTGGGGTCTCCTCTCCCACCCCCAGCCTTTTCAGGTTGCTGGCACTTTCCATCCCCTCCCATTCCCCCCGCGCCTGGTGAACCCAGCTGTGCTCCACACAGTGCCTGCTTGCCCTGCTTTGGGTGGATGTTTCACCTGAGAAGGGCTCACTCACCTGTCCGCACCTGAGCTCTGCAGGCCCCTCCACTGCCGGTGCCCACGGACACTCACTGCAGCCCCCCCTGCCCGCTGTCTTTGCCTCCCCATATTCTAGCTCCAGCTTCTTTACTGGGGAGGTAGGAAGAAGCCCGAGTGGCTTTCCCATTATAGTCAGCTTTCTGATTTATGGGGGGTGCCATGGCCAGTAACGGACCCAGGTCCCTTCATTCCCCTCCCTGGGCCCAGAGTCCACATTTGGGAAATGCAAGGATTGCTATGAGATGGCCTGCTGGGCTCTTTCTATGGGGAACCCATGGCCCTGGTGTCTTGCTCCCCAGAGAGCCCTGGCGGGGTCTTCAGGTCCTCTGGAGGTCACCTCCCCTCAGCCTCATCCCAGGTCTCCAGGGGTGTGGCCCCAGGCTGCCTGCCAGGCCCCATTGGCTCCCCTAACTCCCCCTGACATCCTCCTGTGTTGGAGGAAGGGGCTGGCACTGGGAGTTGGAAGGCCCAGATTTAGACCCACATTGCCCACAGTGCACACGCATACCTGTGCGCAGGGCCTGGCTCCTTGGGATTTGTTCTTTTTCTCCTGTGAGCCCACTGCATATCAGGCCTGTGGGACTGGCCCAGGACCCCAGCAGTGAGTGAGAAGTGGCCCTACTTCAAGGGACTCTAGGCCAGTGCTCTGCCTGTGTCACAGCAGTTTTGTCTTCTGCCCAGCCAGGGAGTGGCTGTGACTCTCATGTCCATGGTGACACTAATGACCCTGCACATGAGGCTCAGAGGAAGCAGGCAGGGCCCAGCACAGATGACCTGGGCACAGGGGCCACTGGCTGAATGGGGTGGCCCCTGCCTGGCTGAACCCAGACCTCCAACAATGCCTCTCCTGTGTGCCCTCAGGACGGGACCCTGGAGCTGATCTTTGCGGCCTATGCAACCACGGCCAGCGCCAGCACCTCGCTCATCATGCAGCTGCTGAAGCACCCCGCTGTGCTGGAGAAGCTGCGGGAAGAGCTGCGGGCTCATGGCATCCTGCACAGCGGCGGCTGCCCCTGCGAGGGCACCCTGCGCCTGGACACGCTCAGTGGGCTGCGCTACCTGGACTGCGTCATCAAGGAGGTCATGCGCTTGTTCACGCCCATTTCCGGCGGCTACCGTACCGTGCTGCAGACCTTCGAGCTCGATGTGAGGGTGGGCCCGTGATGTGGACGGTGGGGAGGCGGGGGCACTTCGAGCTCGATGTGAGGGTGGGCCCGTGATGTGGGCGGTGGGGAGGCGGGGGCACTGTGATGAGGGTGAGATGGGAGACCAGCCTCCACTTTGAGGACTTGAGGCCTGATGCAGAGCCAGTGCTGGCTTCAGGGAGCTTTCAGTCTGATAGGAGAAGCGTGCCCCAAATGCAGTCAGATGAAAGCAAGCTGGGTGGCATACGTGAGTTGCATGTGCACATATACTAACATGCTGCATGCGGCAGGCTGGCCAGGCCTTGGGGGCCACTGTGGCATGTTTCTAGGAAGAGGCAGGTTTGAACATCCGGGCTGGGCAGGGAGCGGGCAGTCCTGGTCCCTCTGTGGGCCCCTCTGGCTCTCACCACCTGCTCCCCGGCCCCCCTTTTGATCCAGGGTTTCCAGATCCCCAAAGGGTGGAGTGTCATGTACAGCATCCGGGACACCCACGACACAGCGCCCGTGTTCAAAGACGTGAGCGTGTTCGACCCTGACCGCTTCAGCCAGGCGCGGAGCGAGGACAAGGACGGCCGCTTCCATTACCTCCCGTTCGGCGGCGGCGTCCGGACCTGCCTGGGCAAGCACCTGGCCAAGCTGTTCCTGAAGGTGCTGGCGGTGGAGCTGGCCAGCACCAGCCGCTTTGAGCTGGCCACGCGGACCTTCCCCCGCATCACCCTGGTCCCTGTCCTGCACCCCGTGGATGGCCTCAGCGTCAAGTTCTTTGGCCTGGACTCCAACCAGAACAAGATCCTGCCGGAGACAGAGGCCATGCTGAGCGCCACCGTCTAACCTAAGCCCACCCGCCTCAGCCCAGCCCAGGCAGTGGGGAGGCGGTGATGGGAGGTAGAAACCTGTGTGTGGGAGGGGCCGGAATGGGGAGGGCGAGTGGCCCCCATACTTGCCCTTCCCTGGTCCCCCTCCCTGGCAAACCCTACCGAAAGCCAGTGGGCCCCATCCTTCCTAGGGCCTGGCTCCCCTTCTGGGTCCTGCTTCCCTCCAGCCGCTCCGAATTTCCCACCAGCTCAGCCCCTGGGAAGGGCGTGGTGGGGACTCTGCATGCCCGTGACAGTGTTAGGTGTCAGCTCGTGCTACAGTGTTCTTGTGATGTTCTGAACTGCTCCTTCCCTCCATTCCCTTTGGACCCTTTTAGCTGCAGCTGGGGGACGGGAAGAGCAGTGCCCCCTTTGGCACACACTTCAGCGTCTCCTCCTCCTGTGCCCCTACCGCGTCTGCCCAGGAACAGCATCCTGGGTAGCAGGAGTCAGCCTCGGGGCCGGGGCTGCCACTAACCTGGAGACTGTCTTTCTTCATGCCCCCGCTCCTGCCCTCCCCTGCCGGTTTGGACATTTGAAATTATTGCTGCTACTTGTTCTGTCCTCTGACCTTGGGGCAAAGGATCCCCAGGTCCTGTCTCCCCAGCATCTTCCCTGGTGGCCCTGGGTAGGTGCACTGACACCCCTACCTTCCCACCCCCTGCTGAACCAGGCCCTGCTACACACTCGGGCCTGTGGCCCTCGGCTCATGTGCTGCCCACCCCCATATTTATTCACTGTTAGAGAATCTTGGGGATACTGGGGTCTCGAACAAACATCTCCTCTCCTGCATGCCCTAGCCTGTGTTCCAGCTGTCCTGGCCAGACTTCTGTGAGTGAAGAGGAAGGGGTCTCTGGTCAAACCCAGCCCCCAGGCCTAGGGTTGAACAGCCTTCCCCGGCTCTGGGCATTATTATTTGGGTTTAATCTTGGAACCTCACTCCTGGGCTGAAGTCTGGAGCCTCTGCCTTGTCCCTGGTGGAGAAGGGACATGGCCCATTGCTTCTTCCCTGTCCTGTCAAAAACCCTGATCAGGTAGATTTGGAGGTGGCCAAGATTTCCTGCTTGGCCCCTGTTCACCCCAGTGCCCCTGACTCCAGTGCGTGAGTACGGGGAAAGATACGGGTTCTTCTGACGGGGCGCCAGGGCCTCCGTCTTCCTTTCCTTAACCCTCCCCCTTTGCCCTCAACCCTGAAAAAGGTGTCCTGGAAGTCCCTTCCACCTCTATGCCACTGTCTGCTTAGCCCAGCTCAGGGGCGGGGAAGAGGTGAAAGCGTGGGGGAGGTGTGCACAGCGGCAGTCCTGCCTGGGAGCTGACTCCGGACGGGCAGTGTGGTCTCTGGGCAGCTGCGAGGAGGCTGCCACCAGAGCTGAAGAGGCGGCTACGTGCGGTTTGTCAGAGGGATTGGGTTGGAAACTGGCCAGTTGGGATGACTGGGTGAAAGAGGAGTAGCTCCTGCCACTGGCGTTTTGAGTGTTGGCGATTTGGGATGCCTCCTGGGGATGGTTTGGGGCCTTCGGTGAGTCTCTAAGCAGTTGTGTCTGCTTTCAGATTTTTCCTTGCTTTCTGTTTCTCTATTGGTTTTTGATGCTGTCGAAAACACAGAAGAATGAAGGACATCTCAGTCCCCAATCGCTGCTGTGATCACCTCCGCCGCTCCCTGAGACCAGATCCCGTGGGCAGCCCTACAGACCAACCCTGACCCCACTCATGGCCCCCCTGACCGTAGACTTCAGGAACAGCCTGTACCACGCAGATTCTCTACAACCCCTGACTCAGATGTTTCATTTATTTCCTGCTTTTCCACTACTAAAAAAAAGTGTGGAACAGACATTATTGGCAAAACTAGTTTGACGTTTTTAAAAACATTGATAAAAATCCCTTAATCACCCCCAATTCTGAAAAACGGGCCAGAATGGGTAAATATAGCTACATAGTGCACCTGAACTTATACCCCTCACACACACACACACACACAAAACCAGTATCTGGAAGGTTCGCTTGCCTTTAGGCTGATCCAGCTGGCCCTGAACCACTTGCTTTTGCCTATCTAGGAGAGCAGTAAGCGGAACTTCAGACAAGAAGCCCGCTGGGTCTGGTCCAGGGGAGGGGCAGGAGGCATGGGGCTGGGAGGCCTCAGGGACCTTCCCTTGGGGTGGCCAGCCTGGTAGGGGGCAGAGAAGGAAAAACTGAGGGGGGTCCCTGTGAGGGAGGAGAGAAGGATCGTTTGGCCCGCTGGGTCTCAAAGGCAATGAGAAGAGAGCCGAAGAAAGCTCTGGCTGGCTGACAGGCTCCCTGTGTCGTAATTCGCCCCTCCTTTCAGCTCTTTAGTGAGATACTGTGTCTGTGTGTGTGTGCGTGTGTGTTTCATAGATCTAGCGTTAGATGGGTGATATTTCTCACTTATCATCCCTAACTATTGTAACTTGACCTAAAAAAGACGAAACCCACAAAACTCTTCCTGCCACGGGCTTGCAGATTGAAGCACTTTCAATGTTGGGCGCTGGCGTTTGTGTTCTGGGCACCACCATGACCCTGCCCAGATGGCTATAGTATTTTATACACAAACTTTTTTTTTTTCATAAATGTTATAATTTTGTGTCTGTCTTTATAAACTATTATAAGTACTATTTTTGTTATAATTCAAAATAGATATTTAGTATAAAGTTTTTGCTGTTAAATATTTGTTATTTAGTAAAATATGAATTTTGCTCTATTGTAAACATGGTTCAAAATATTAATATGTTTTTATCACAGTTGTTTTAATATTGAAAAAGCACTTGTGTGTTTTGTTTTGATATGAAACTGGTACCGTGTGAGTGTTTTTGCTGTCGTGGTTTTAATCTGTATATAATATTCCATGTTGCATATTAAAAAAATGAATGTTGTGCATTTTGTGATTTTGGAAATACTCAGTGTGGCTCTTTCATAGGCTTCCATAATAAACCATGGGGACTCACCCTTGTCTCCGTTGCCTCTCTGCTGTCTGCCTTCTCAGCTTTACTGAAAGGGTCCTACCGGGCCACCTGTGTTCACATCAGCAACGCCCTGTCCACTTTGTCATCTAGGAAGCCCTTCCCTAAAACCTCTGTCCCATGAGGCCAGTTCACTGTTCCTTGCATGCAGGCACAGAGGTCTGTGTCAGAGTCCTGGGAGAAGGAGTTTCCCTGGGAAGGGGAGAGAGAACCAGTCAGTCTGTTGCGGGAGGGGCAGCGGGGAGGACGTTCCGAGTGTGGCCATGGCTGGCGTGCCAGGTGTCTCAGGGACAGAGGGACCGAGAGTTCTGAGCCTGCCTGGTTAACCTGAGTGAGGACACTGATGTTCACCGTCACGTGGCAAATTGGGAAGCAGAATTCGGTTCTGACATGTGGCCTCAAGTCCCATGCCAGCACTTCTCAAAGCCTGTTTTGTGGGTGTTGTGGGATCACATAGATTCCAGGATCAAATGAGTTTGGGAAGTGGGTTAAACACAGTCATCCTGGTTCCCCTTCTGCAGGCCTTGTCAGAACCTTGAGCCCCAGGATGCGTAGCCTCAGGGGCAGTAGAGTGTGGGGTAGACATGGCTGCAGCATTCTCCATGCCTGTTTGAGGACTGAAACCCTGTCCTCCTGTGCCGATTATCTAATTTCACAGAAAGATCCACAGCCTGTCACAGAGGCCTGAGGCGAGGACCAGCAATGGGCAGGGCTCTCAGTGCTTCGAAAAGCAACCCCCAGGTGGTTCCCGGGATGGGGGGCTGTGGGCGATGACTGAGCCTCGCCCCTCAAGCTGCACACTGGGAACCAGGAAAGGCCGAAGCGTGGCCAGGCTGGCCCTAGCCTCTGCCCCATCCTGGTCCCATCACCACAGCCTGAGGGCGAAGGCCCACCCCAAGCTGGCCTGAGAAGAGCCCATTTGCGGCTGGAGCGTTTCTTTTCGGTACTGTCAGTTGGACCCAACCTCGGCTCAGAGCACCCTGACCCAGGCACACCCTGGGGTGCAGGGCCTGGTTCTGCCTAGGTCTCAGAGTCTGGCCACCCAGAAGAGAAGGACCTGCCATCGGAGCAATGTCACCAGAGCAGGATGCTCAGCAGCCCTGACCCCAGCTCACCCGCTCTGGTGTCCTTTCCGCCTCACCTCCCCGCTCCACACTGTGAAGGGGCCCAGCCCTCCACTCCCCCCAGGATGGGGAAAGGCGCAGGGACTTTCCTACAGCCACAAAAAGCAGACGGTAGTATTGGGAGCCTGCCCCACCCCATACAGGCCAGCTCCAAGGGGCACCCTCAGACGGAGGCTCTCAGCATCCTGAGAACCAGTGAAAAGCCCTAGCTTCTGCAGGGAGTCCTGCCAGGAAAGGTGGTCACTTTCCAGAGAGTAAATTCCATTCCTCCTGGTGGAATGTCCTGTGTGGCAGCAGAGGCAACGGAAGCACGGCCCCTGGGCTGCCTCAGCCTGACCACCCTGCTCGAGGTAGGCGGGCCCAGCTGGGCAGGCAGCTGGCCCTGTCATCACCCAGGCTGTCCTTGCCTCTCCCCCGTGGGCCCAGTGGGTCAATGACGTCCCCGACATGGTCACCTACCCCAGGGATCTCCTGGCCTAGAAGGAGAACAACACAGACCCCTGTGGACAGACAAACACGGACTCTGTTTGTCCAGGAATTGGGGCGCCAGTTTGGAGGGAACTCGCAGACCGCACACTCTGCCACTTCTCTGCACTTTTCCAAAACAGCCTGGCCTTGGCTGGGCCAGGTTGCCCAGGGTGGCAGGGGGCTGGGAGCCAGGAACAGAGCCGGGAAAAGCAGGGCTGGGGGGCCAGCGTGGGGGGTAAGCAGGTGAGGACAGGAGCGCTGCTCTGCTGGCTCTGCTTAGCTCTGACACGCCTTGGAGGGGAGACGGAGAAGCAGGCAAGAGGGGAAGAGGGAGGGGGGCAGATGAAGAGAGAGGGAGGAGAGGGAGGGAAGGGAGGTAGAGAAGCGAGGAGATGGGAGGAAGAGGAATGAGAGAATGCCCTTGTCTGGCCTCCCAGGAGTCTCTGATTCCAGCCCCTTCAGCTTGGGCCCCTCCGTGTGAAAAGAACCCCAACACCCGCTAAGCGCTGCTGCTCTGAGACCCTGGCCTCCTCCCACAGCTCCATCCTGTGGGAGGAGCTTGGGGGTGAGCTTGGGGGGCTCGGGCCCCTCCTTCCTGGCTGGTCTTCGCCCACACAAGTCTTGGCTTTGGCATGCCTTCCCTCCTGAAGTTTCCTCTTCTGGGACTGGGGCTTAGCATCCCTCTGAGCCAAATGTCATGTAGAACAAATCACAAGTGGCTCCCCTGGAGTGGTGGCCCTGGAGATGCACGTGGAAGGTCTTTCTCTGAGCCCGGAGCTGCAGAGGTCAAATGGAAGCTCCCTGCAAGGACTCTTCTTGGCCTAACTTGGGTCACACGCCCAGCCCTGGCCAGGAGGATGGCTTCCTCTGATTAGGTAGCTTGGAGTGGGGCCAGAGGGGTGGTGCAGGTTTGGCAGCCCAAGGCAGAGAAGAGAAGGAAGTGCAGGAAGGGACAGGTGGACATGGACATTACTGCAGAGCACAGCTGGGGTGGGAGGGGAAGGAACTAGCAAGCAGGGGAGGACCAGGGCTGCTGGACTGTGCCGGGTGCAGGAAGAGGGAGGGCAGTGAGCGACATTTTGAGAGTGGAGCTGCTGTAAGTGGAAGCCCTCACTGCTTCATGCCAGGTTATTTGCACTCCTATGCTATTAGTTCCTTCTCCTGCCATGCTCCCAAGGGCTTTGTGGGACTGTGTGTGTGTGTGTGTGTGTGTGTGTGTGTGTGTGTGTGTGTGTAAGTGTACTGTTTACTTTGAAATAATTATAGATTCACAGGAAGTTGCAAAGATAGAGCAAGAGAAGCCCTGTGTACTCTGCACCCGTTTGTGATTGTAGTGGAATCTCAGAACAGGAAATTGATGTTGGTACAACGCATGGGAACACACCACACGACCCTGTTGTTTTAGTCAGCGATGGACCTCATATTCGATGGTGGGCCCATGTGATTATAGTGAAGCTGAAAGGTTCCTGTCACCTAGTGACATCGCAGCATAACACATCACCTTTTCTTTGCCTAGATACACAAATGCCACTGTGTTCAGGGCTGGACAGGGTGACCGAGAGCACACAGGACAGTCCACAGTATTCAGTACAGTAACACGCTGCACAGGCTCATAGCCCAGGAGCAACAGGCCGTACCATACAGCCCAGGTGTGTAGCAGGCTCTGCCACCTATGTTTGTGTAATACATTCTGTGACAGTCTTATGACAAAATCGCCTAAAGAGGCATTTCTCAGAACGTATCCCTGTTTTTAAGTGACGTGTGACTGGATGGGTACAGTTGTGCCTTTTTATCACACCTGTAGATTTGTGGACCACCACGGCAATGTGGATGCCGGACTGTTCCATCGCCACAAACATCTCCCTCCCTCCTGCCGCCCTTCACAGCCACACCCACCCCTGCCCCCATCCACCACTCCACCCAGCTTCTGGATGCAGCCAATCTGTTCTCCATATCTAGAATTTTGCCATTTCAAGGTTATATAAATGGAATCATACAGGATGTAATGCTTTGGGACTGGCTTTTTCCGTATAACATCAAGACCAGCCTGGCCCACATGGTGAAACCCAGTCTCTACGAAAAATACAAAAAATTAGCCAGGCATGTTGGTGGGCACCTGTAATTCCCGCCACTTGGGAGGCTGAGGCAGGTGAATTGCTTGAACTCGGGAGGCGGAGGTTGCAGTGAGCCAAGATCACACCACTGCACTCCAGCCTGGGCGACAGGGGGAGACTCTATCTCAAAAAAAAAAAAAAAAAAAAAAAAAAAAAAGCCATCCAAGTTGTTCCATGTGTCAATAGTCTGTTCCTTTTTGTTGCTGAGTAGCGTTCGTTCCATGGTATGGATGTGCCAGT